TTGTCACTTTTTTAACGACAGATACAATATCTTCTCAGCTTTGTCAGGTCAGACAACTACTGTACTCCGAGTCGCTTGGAGTAGTGCAGTAAAGACGGACCTCCAACCTTAAAAAGAGTGGGAGACATTTCAACCTAGTCAGAAGCTCTATGACGCTTCAGTACACGGAGCTCGTAGTTGATTTTATCCTCGGATGGTATCGAGATGCTTAAGTACCAGAGTACCCTATGGTACAAAAATGGCAACTCGCGTACAGTGATGACCGGTTAAAATGCTTTTCAAAGTGAGGACTGTGAATTAGCTTTCTGCTGGTTTCCAATAGCACTTCGTTTACAGTTGACTCCTAGTCACCAATTTATTGGATTGGACAGTTTACAGACGTTCCCTGAGGAAGTAGCGTACTGCATCTCGATAACAGGCTGCATCCACCAGACTCCATGAGGAGCTACCTGAGCTCGGCATTGCCAACTCTACGCAATACACTGTACCCAGTGTCACTGGGACATCTTCGGCAAGTTTCCAGCAGTTGATCAACTGGTGCGGAAATCCACAAATTGTTGGTGCGTCTAGTGAAGCGACGGCGGTGAACTTGTGCATAGCACTCCGGATATGTGTCTACTGCGCATCGGCGTTCGGAAGGGAAGCTAGCACGTCCTGATAGGCGCGGTTTATGTTTCGAACAGCGGTTCCGGCTACTTCAAACCGTTTCTGGCGACCCCGTTGAGTGTCATCAACATCCAAATCAACTTTAGCACACACACACACAAGCGCCTGACATGTAGTGAGATACGTACTGAAATTGATTTACAGTCCGTTATACTGCCATGTCGGCGGTAACTGCTAGGTATGTGACCAATCTTTGTCCACTGTTGTCCAGGCAAATAAAGTCGCCAGATTACGTGCTGACGCCAGGAACGGCCAACATTACTACTCGAAATGAATGAGCTGTGATCGGCACAGAGCTGTAGAAAGTGATCGGCTGTTACTTAACCTGCGGGTGTCGACCATGCTGACCACCGGCTTGGCGTTCATCAGCACCAAGCTACTACCTTGCGCGTATGTCTCCGGCCAACACCACAACCTTATCTGTGCAGCGATTTTTACAGGGTGTGTCAGAGAGTTGCCAAATAACTAAGTTTTCGCTCCCGACGATATATCTTCTTATCTTGGAGGTCCATATTTGTATAGCGCTTTGATCGCAGGTGCCTTTGACGAGTTCAAAACTCTTACCGCAGCCTGTCTGGAGCAGCCCGGAGAAGATTGGTTGTATGCCGCCTGGAACCGATTGGCTAACCAATGGGAGTAAGCCAATGGCATCGTTTTACCTTGAGGTCGACCAATCAGAATGACCTACCTTGAAGCTCTCCAGTAAACACACTATTTGTTCAGCCAACAAACGTGCTTTTTCGCATCTAGTAGTTGCTATAGTCAGGGACTTTCAATTAGGTTTTTTCTCTCATGAACTATTTATTTCGGCCCAAATTTTGGATGTAAATTCCTTCTCCCTAGTGCTCCATACAAGTTTCCACCAGAGGCCTTTGTCTTCTGATTTGGAAATTGGCTGTATCGTGACCAGAGTGGCTGCGTCGGTTATCCGTACTATCAGCGGAACACACAAGAAAAACGGATCAGATATTGGCATTTGAAAGGATAGCAATAGCACATAAAATAGTTGACTGAAATGAATTGTTGCTAACTGACATTCAACTGTTTTCTCACCTACATTGTTATAAAACAGCGGACTCATATACGAAATGATGGCAGCGAACCGAGTAGTAGGTCTTATGAAACCTTGACCCTTCTCGTATGCTTGGCTTGTTGTTATGAGATATCCGAATAGCTTGTTTGCGTTTTGTACAGCTAACAGCTTACTGCTTTCGCGGATTTCTTACTCGGGGGTGCCAACACTTATTCTGGTTGATAGATTGTTCCGGATTCTGATGTATCTGTTAAGAAAATCATTAACATATCTCATGCTTCTGGACTTGTATTCTGCCACTATGTTCTCGCTTTCGTGTATTGTAAATGCTTGGTTTCATTAATGACATGCTGAGGTTGGGAACAAGTATATTTTGTGCAAATGTTTAAAATCTATGATTACGTTGCGCTTCCGGCTTCGTAGACAGAGCGAATTAAGTTTGAGCTCATCGCATCGTTCACAATATCTGTTTTGGTAAAACACCTAAAATGCGTTTGCTCTCTGTACTTGTTCTATTGCAATGCGGTCGCGCTTGTTTGAACTACTGTACACTATAGATAGAAATTCCAACGTGTATCGAGCAAGTGAAATACAAGAATGCACTTTGCGCGAGCTAATCCGCTACAACAAACAAACCGTGCTTGGTGGTATTTTGGCCAGACACTCTTGCAGAGCTTCCCAATTAGGTAGCGCGGTTTCTGCGCGCGCACTGATGTGATTTCTATGCCAACTTAACCCGCATCTTCAGCTAAGCGTAATGTTCTCTGGGAGCACGCAGATGAAGTCAGTGGTGGGTTTTTACTAGAGCCATGTGCGTGGGTTTCAGAGAAAGAAGTAACAGCTACCGTTTGTGTTCGTTTCCCAAGTGCTAGTAACTTTCATCTGCGATTCCATCTGCATGAACGTCCGCATATTGAAAGAAAGCGGTTTCAGTTGTGAACTGGGGCTAGGGACTTTCTGGCTGCACGATTAGGTAGCACACGTCCGGTCTTGAACTGATCAGTGACACGGTTAGAATTGTTGCTCAAGGCGGCGCATTGTTGGGCGCTCAAATTTGGACGATTTTTACTGAGAATGGGGAAGTTTAACTAGCACAGAATGAATCAAGTAGTAGGTGCTACCAACCTCCGACACGTCAGCCGATAGAAATGGGTACCGAGAGTAAGATTTCGTAGATTTTTTCCCCATATGTGTTTTATGACCATAGAACTTTCCGGGTGTTCATGTTGCACAGGAAAGTTGACTCAGATGCCCCACCTGGAGCCTTAACTTGTAGAGACATGTTTCTCAATCAGCTTGCGTAATAAACATACATTACCTAACATTAAGAGCAAATAGCTGAGGTCTGGATAACGCGACTTTCGAGTAGTAACAAACGCCAGAACAGCCCAAGTATCTCAGCACAGAGGACAATAATGAAAGTCATCAGCAGCACACCTGCACCTATACTGACTTTTCGCTGACGCACGCGTTCTTGGCACACTCCGACGTTACTCCGCATCTCCGCCGATTGCAGCCGGTGACCTTTGAGTTACAGGGCAGACATCGGCCAATCACCGTTTAAGGCATCACCGAACTCGTCGCCAGATATGAAGGCCATCGACAGTCAGAGGACTCGTTCGACCTCTTCTTGTTCGAATGGGTGTCCATACTTAAGCCGTCAGTCATTGAGATTGTTCAAGCGCCCTTTATTATGTACATCATTCCGGTTGCAAAATTGACTAATCATTGACCCTATTGGCTTCTGCGGTGCGTCGTACGAGTTCTTGTGATATGCAATTGAGAACCAAATGATCACTGCAGAACTGTTTACTATCTTAGAAGTTACTTCTGATTGTCCACGGCTGCATTATTCATCTCGTCTGCGGAACAAACGAGATTTATTCAAAATTACCTCTGCAAGCAATGCGTTCCCCGCCCCGTATGCTGGAGCGCGCATGATAGCCTGCTGAACCACCACAACTAAGCTTTATCCCTGCGCTGCTGAGCCTCCAGTAACGACTGTCACAACGGGTAATTACGCATGCTGGGTTCGTCTGAAGTGCTCTTTAATGCGCACTGATTGCGACACACATTCTGAGTCAAGATCGTTGTGTACTTTGCAATATATCTCTTTCAGTCGCATCACTGGGAATGTATCCGAAGCAACCATACGTCCAATGGAGGCGAAATGCTATACAGGTTTACCGGCTACGTAATTTGATCAACATTAAGTAACAATGGGCCAACCACTTAATTGTCATCAACTTCTTGACTGTGCTTTTTGAATGGGATTTCTCACGTCTTGTGCAATAAGTCGCGCGTGCTCCATCCGAGAGGATCTTTCGATTGATCGCTTCGTACCTTATTATCTCGCCGTCATGTTAAAACTCTATACAACCAAGCACCGGGCTCTGACGACGTACACACTACTGTGTCCGCTCGGTAGGCATCAGGATTACTTTACCTAACCAATAGTCCAATGCTGCGCCAGACTCTGTTGTATACCATTTGGTATGCATGACCTCATTGTTTACGAACGCTGTCATGCAAACACCGGTAGTGGAACACGATCAACTTTATGTATTCTTAACCCACTTTGGTGATATCTATTGCATTCGGTAGAACCTCCGTATTGTTAAATTTGTTTTCAGCCGTTTAGTGGTTGATAACTCACATTTTGGTCCGCGCTGAACCATTGTTTGCTAACTCTGTTTCCGATAGAAAGGAGACCTTGGTACGGTCTACTGATGACGATGAAATTCAGTAGAAAACGGGCTGCCCGAATTAGTTCTGCGGATGCATACCATCCTCTTGAATTGCGTTCTCTAGTCCGGTTGCACCATAGAGCGTAAACTCCTTAACACCATGCATTCGCATATCCAACGGTGATTGTCTTTTTTATCTTTCTCTTTTTATGTTTATTATTTTCTTTGAAATTTTGCAATTGTTTACTATTGTTTCTCTTTCTACTCCACTCTTATTAGTTATTCTGTTCTCCTGGCGACTGATCTACTGCTTATTAATTGAGACCAATTAGAAAATAATTAATCTTCTCATTACTTTGTTCTGTAAGTACTGCACTTCGTCGATAATTTTTCATAATGTTTGGCTGCCTGAACTTTTGTCCGCACCTATCTTGTAACGAGTTTGCGTTTATTTGCTTCACTCGAAACTGCTACTCGTTTCGTTACTGCTGGGTCCTCAGTCAGTTTAGTTGTAATCTGGCATACGGTTGCACCTCGTATTTGTCCTAGAAAAATTAATGATTCTAAAGTTTTCTGTCACTTATCTTTTCAGATGGTTTTGGTTCTTCTATCTTATGGGACTTGTCGCAACGCTGTTCGTGCTTCTCCTTGAAGTTCACCAATCCGGTTAGTATTACACTTGCATTGTACTATCACATTGCAAATCGATGCCAAACTCTCATGCCTGTCGCAAAACCAGAGATTCTATCGCATTGTGGGGTTGCCTAGAATTTCGACTGATTAACTATGGCTACTCCAGTATACGTCACCCGTATTCTTCACTATCCACCGCTAGATTAACCAGTTACCTTGTCATCTGGAGGTGGTCACCAGTTCGAATCCACGTACCTGTGGGCGAGCTCACTGTATACTCTCGTCCCACGCCTGACTGGTGGCGGTGGTCGAGTGGTAGCGAAACGCCGGTACAGTTTGCAGGCATACTATATATATATATATATATATATATATATATATATATATATATATATATATATATATATATATATATATATATATATATATATATATATATATATATATATCACTATGGCCCATGCTGAGGCTGATGTTGCATTCTTGATGTTTCTTCACCGCAGTTGGGCTAAACCAACTTGCACTTAAACTAGGTCTTTTTAAGCTGGATAAGTTTGATTCCACTTTATTTGGTTTGTTCTGCCTACCTGAATAATATTCTACCAACTAGCCACGTTGCTTACGCTAATTGCGCTTATCTTCGGTAACTTTGTTGCCTTTGTAGCATTTTTAAGTAACTTGTGGACATTTTTTACTTATCACGAATTTGTTGCTAACCAACTTACTTCCTATGCTAATTTAGCGAAGAGTTATACCACCGTATCCGTATGCATTATTCGACTTATTTTATTTCACCTTGTCGTTTCAAGTGAATGGCTGTTGCTTGATATCCCCGGTGTGGCTGCGCTTGATGTGCTTGTTGACAAGGTGCCTACCTGTCTATTACCCACTACCTCGTCCATACTGGCTTTAGGAGACAGTTGGTGGTTGCTGGAGGGGATAGGGTACACGGTCCTTGTGGTCGTGCTAGGATCAAAGCGGGGTTCCATATAGTCAGTGTGGAGCGGACTACGGTCCAGCCACCGCCTTGTGTGCGCTTGATTCCCCAAATACAGCGTGCTTGTGTTTGCCTGTGAAAAGGTGTGGGCCGGCTCCGTTGATGAAGCGTGGCTCCCATCCACATGCCTCCCGTCCTTGGGGTTTATACTGGATATGGGGTGTGGTTGGAGCTGGGGGTGGTGGTGCAGCGCAAGCCACTCATGCTCCCTCTGTAGGCGCAGGCATCCTGTGACTGGCCACAGTGACAGCGGAAACCGATACCGGATGCCGCCAACCATAGGTATCATTATCGTCGTCATCAACAGTCTAATTAATCGGCATAGATTCATACAGAGCCATGGAGGTCTACGGCAAATGACCGTTACAATTGCTGCGTTGTCATCATCATGACCCATTAGCTGGAGGTGAGCATGCTTCTACAGTTGTTCCCCAAAAAACCGGAACCTTTTTTATTTTGCACTCCCTATTTTTGCATTATTTTATCTTTTTTAATTGTTAAGCATTAAGCATATGAATCTAAATCAGTAGGTACACAGATCTTCCACTGGTTTCGATTTCGCGCCATATCCTGGATTCTTTCCAGCCATCGGCATTCTTCGTTCCTTTGCCGGTCAGGTGTTTGGATCGCACAGCAGCAATATGTTAATTCGTTGATTTCAAATGTTGTTTCCAGGTCTAGGCTTGACCAGCACATGATCATCTTCAGCATAATTACACACTTGCTGAAGGTAAGAAACACGCTTCAATGATGGTGTAGCAATCCAAAAATAATATGTGCGAAATTTGAGATACTGGACGTTAACGAATACAACGAAACAACTCGTAACATAAAATATGATTCCAGACAGAGATTGTGGTTGCAAGGGGAAGTTAAGCTTAACGAGTACTAACAACGGAACTCACAACACTAACGCAATTAGGGCGGCTGTTCACCACGTCAACCTTTGAACATTAAGTGAACAATGCATTTATACGGGTTAAGAAGCCTTGGTTTACAAGTCCCGTTGGATAGTACGTGGGGATATTGAAATAATGACAGTAATAATAATAGTAGAACAATTAGTCCTTTAAATGTGAAAATAAAGGTTTATCCTTTGATCCGCCGTAGTCTTGCAATCCGCTTAGATACACGGCATCCACAGTTAACATCAACTTATACATGGTCTACTCCAGGTGTAAGATGGAGACGTAGCGCTAAGTGACAAAGCGTACTGGATGAGTGCCTCATCCAATCGTCTTTTAATTTCTGTTAGTGTCCGTGCAGAAACGACCGATTCTGGGATAGCATTCCACGGATGACAGACACGCATTTAAAAGAAATTTCTGCTGCACTCCAGACGGCTGTATTTTTCTGCGAGTTTTAATGAGTGGCCCCTAAGGTTTGTATTGCTGCTGAGTTGCAGTAAAGGGCGGCACACATGATGTGGGTCTCGCAGAATCAAGTGTGCCATAATCAGGTCGACTCGTAGTCTGCGATAGCTTCCACTGAACAATCCCAATCGTTGCAGCCTTTCCTGGTATGAAAGCTTACGCATTCCAATTACGTTTTTAGATGCCTGACGTTGTGACTGCTCCAGTGCATTAAGGTCGTGTTTCAGCCATAGATGCCAGACTTGAATTGTGTATTCGACATGAGGGCGAACATGCGCACTGAGCATTTGTCGAAATATGGAGCTGTTTATTTGTCCAAGTGCCCGTCGCAACAACACGACGTGTTGGTTCCTAGTCTTCGAGGCCTTTTCGCATTACCTGGAGCAGCCCAGGTCAACTTGAACCGGGACACCGAAGTCATGGTCGACAGTTGGTCGTTGTAGTACATTTGTTCTGAGCCGGTATGGGTAGCTACTCTGATGTCGGATGGAAAGTACCTAGCATTTACTGACATTGAAATGCAGTAAGTTTTGGGATGACCATTGATATATCGTACCTATGTCACTCTGAAGCAGATGCTGGTCGGCGTTTGTCTGCCTCCTACGCCAAATCTTGATATCATCGGCAAACATTAGGATGTTTGAAGCGGTTCCCTTTCCAAAGTTATTAATAAACACCTAAAAACAAACGTGGACCTAAAACTGAGCCTTGTGGCACACCACACTCGACTTGTATCGGGTTCGATATAGAGCTCCGGACTCTGACCGCTAATTGCCGTTGAAGTAGACATTTGGCAATCCATCTTAAAAGAGGGTCGCCGATCCCATAATGCGGGAGCTTGAAGAGTAATATCCAATGGTCTGGACGATCGAAAGCCTTCGAAAAATTCAGGTAAATCACATCAACACCTTCTCCAGCGTCAGCTGACTCGGTCCAACTACTGCGCACGACCATTAAATTCGTTGTGCACGACGGCTATCGACGGAAACCGTGCTGCTCAAGCCTGATCATGATAGTTTTCCAGATGGCGCACCAGTGTATCGACAACCATAGATTCCATGACCTTGGCGAATATAGGAATAAGGGATACTGAGCTGTAGTTGGAGGGATCAGTACTGCTTCCACTTATGGGAACGGGGGTTATTATTCCAAGCTTCCACATGGAGGGAACTTGATTCTTGTCTAAGCATAGGGTTACAAACTAAGCTAAATCTCCTGCCAGTTGGGTTACTGCTGCTTCCAGTGCCTCTGGATGAATGGTGTCAACAACCGGCATGCTGTGTTTGCATAGAGAAGTCCACTTTTGCTATACAGTCTCCGTGGTGAAACGGATGTGGGTTACTCCTGATGAGGAGACGACATAGGTTGGAAGATCACTTGGTGGCGAGAGCTTTTGAAATGTGGGTGCATATTGCATCCGCAGCGCGTTCGCTGCTTCCACAGCCGTTCGTTTTGGGCCATCCACCATCTTGAGTGGAGGAAATCCTTGCCTCACTATTCGTAGGCTATTGACGGGGTTGTGCAGCAGTTTGTGATTAGCACTGAAGGTTTTTGCGCTGTTCTGCTAATATGCAGCTTTGTCTTCTCTTAGCAGTTGAGTGCAGTGGTTACGTTGGGCTACGTAGTTGTCCCAAGTTTCTGGTGCTGGAGCTACTCTGTACACTCGCTCTGTTGTGTTGCGTACTGTCATCCATTTTGAAGTTCTGCTCCTAACGAACGAAACTGATGTGCACTTATTGCAACCTTTTAATCGTGAACCCTCTGCAATCAGCTGACTGAATTTGTTGACGAACTCAATCCAGGCGACTTCCGAGGTTCTTCGGCAAGGAATAACCAAGTTGTATCCCTGACGAGCTGGGCTAATCGATCGTAGATTGTGATGGTTCGCACAGTCTTATCGTTCTCATTCCGATATTCCGCATAGCGGACGAAGTTGAAACTGATGACTATGTGATCACCGCGGCCAAACGGACAGCCTAAAACCAACACTTCAATCATATGCTCCTCGTTGGTAAGCACATGATCCAGCGCAGATGGCCTGTTACCTGTTCTGAACCGAGTGGGCCAAGTGATGTGATTGTAAAGAGGAACAGTGGTTACGAGATCTTGTAGATCGGCTTTGAATTGTTCTCCGTTCATGGCAAGCGTTTCTAGACAATGTACGTTGAAATCACCCATGATATGAGTGTACTTTCTCTGTAAACTGCATCAGCAGCCACCATCCCACCACACATATCGGACGCCTATCGGCGAAAGTCTCTTATAAGTCCAAGCTATTCCGTTTCCATGGGGACATTCAACGTTCGCACTCTAAGACAAACAGATCAACCGGCTGCATCGCACGCACCTTGGACACACTGGGTATTGATGTGTGTTGTGTGTCGGAAACTAGGATCAATGACCCTAACGGGGTTATTGAATTCACTACATCCAGCTTATCCTCTGGTTATTGGTTGCACGCATACGGAGACGCCGATGCAGCACTCACGGGTCAAGCTTGTGTAGGTATCATTCTAAGCTCCAAGGCTGAGCCATCGTTGGTTGATTGGATTCCGGTGAACAGCCATTTATGTGCAGTCCGTTTGACGACATCAGCTAAGGTTCATTCACGAAGTAGTAAAAGACGCTGTTTGTTCGTGATTTCCGTTTATGCTCCCACCGAC